ATTCGAAAACCCAATGGAATAAAGAAAAGATGAATGGATTGAAGAGAGTAATCGTTCAAATAGAAAGCACGGAAATGGATAACCTTGTTCTATGTGAGGTGATGGTAAGGGGCCCGGGGGGGGGGTGGTTAAGAGAGATCGTTTTAGGGGTTGGGAGGAGAATTGGTTCGGGAAGGGGGAGAGGTAGGGTGTTCTGTTCTGTTCTATTCTGTTTAGTCAGACGGGGGGAGATTAGTAATAGAACTCTTAGGTAAGACCAAATGGGGAACTTTCCCATCGCGTGGTTGACGATCGTACATCGAAGTAAGTTGCGTGTCTCGTGAAATAAGTTTTGTCGGGGTGGGGGTGGGGGGAGGAGAGGATGAGGGGGAAGGGAGAGGGTTTCTTCTCTCTTTTAGAAAATCAGTGAATCCGTTAGGGATCGAAACCAGGCGTGGCACACAAGGAAACCTAGACTAAGCTAGTAGTAGTTTTTGTCCTACCTTGTTTTGCTAGATATTCTTCTAGGTTAGGTGAACCCAATGGATCATTACAATGGTGGGGATGGATCCTGGGGGGATGGGTTTTGATAAATACGAAATGATTTCGTGATTGGAGATAAACTCGAATAAAATGGGGGTGAAAATAAAAGTATAAAAAAAGAAAAAAAAGGAGCAGAAAATATAAGGAATGAAGGAAGAAACCGAAATCGATTTTGTTGAGAGAAATTTTAGGTGAGAACAACAACCACATTTTTTTCTTCCTATTTCCCCACATCCCGTCACCCTTATACACGCGTTTACAAATGTTAGATGTGTGTGTGTGTGTGTGGGAATAGAAGGAGAAGATGAATAAGTGGAAGAGGTGTGACAGAAGATAGTGCAAAAGGGATAGAAGAGTTAGGAAAGTTTGAGTTTGAGTTAGAGTAAGAGGGATAGTGAATAGCACTACGTGCTCCTGTTTGTTGAATTGTGAAGATCAATACGACGCACTCAGTTTCTCTCCCTCGCGATTCCGTCAGCATGTGAGTGTGTGTATGTGAGTTTGTGTTGATGCATGCGAAGCACGTAATCTCTCTCTCTCTCTCTCTATTTCTCTCTATGTATTTTTTTCTTTCTCTTTCTCATTCATCTGTCAAATTCCAAACTTAACTTTTAACTTTAATATAAATACTGAATAATCATATAACATATTCTATATATTGAGATGTGAGAGAGAAAAAAAAGAAAAGAAAGATATAAAAAATAATTCACCAATGTTTCGTTTTCATTAAAAAATCAGTGGTTTGCCAAAAAAAATTATTAATTGTTTAAATGCATTTTCGTTTATACTAAATTTATATATATATATATATACACACACACATACATACACATACATACATACATGCATACATACATTATACATTTTTATAATTAAACTTTCGTCCCTTTTTTCTATTTAATACACATACACACATACATACATACATACATACATTCGCAAACACACGTATATATATTTTTATCGATTTTAAGAATAAAAGAAAAAAAAGAATAAGAAAAAGAAATAGAAGAATAAGAAGAGAAGGGAACATGAAAAAAAAAAAAAATTAATCAAGGGTAGTGCAAGAAGAAGAAGAAGAAGAAGAAGAATAAGAAGATTTGACGAATTCAGCTGATGTGGTAATACTGATCTGCTGTTTGAGGTAAAACCCCTTCTTATTAATTTCCTATCAATGGGGTAAAATTAGTTAGATCGTCGTACCGATTTTCTATATTTTTATCCTCATAATAATCCTTCATTCATTTCCTATTCGATCATAGATTAAGAACAGTTAGTAGAGACATTTTAATTTTAACGAAGATGGGCTAACTCCCCATTCCACCACCGTAAATAATTCTAACCCCTTTCCAAACTCGTTGGCTTGCGTCAGATAGCATTGAAAAGAAGAAACGAGGCTAGTCATATATATATATATCCGGTGATACATTTTTCTTTTTCTTCTTTTTTTATTCCTACTTTTTCTGCACACATCAGGCCGTTTTTTAAAGGAGGAAATTTTTCAGACGGGGTTTGGGCACGTTGTTACATTAAACCAACCAACCAACCCCCTCTCTGCAATAACAACCCCTTCCAATCGTCCACCCTGTTTCCATCCACCCCCCCTCGGCCACCCCCACAGTATTTTTCTGTCTTTCTCATCTTCGGTCAATCGAGGAGGCCTACTTATTGAAGCGTCGAAGGGCGAACACCCTGCGCACTGCGGTAGGCGCACTGTACGAAAATAGGTCGGCTTACCCCCTCTTCACAGCACTCCCCCCCCTCTTCCTCCTCCTCAATCTCCACCACCACCTTTTTCTTTCTTTCTTTCTCTAGCCTACTCCTCCTACAACCCTATTTCTCTCTTACCTATCGACACCTCCGCGCCCACGTTTTCTTTTCACCCTAACTTCCCACCCCCATCTGCCCCTTAATAAAGAGAAGGGTGTATATATATATATATATATATATATATATATGAGAAGTGACTAGCCTTTAGTCCTCTTAGTCTTATGTACACGATTTTTGCGCTAGTATTAACGTTTTCTTGGGTTCTTCCTATTTTTTTGTTTTCCTTCATTCCTTCCTTCTTTCCTTCCTTCCATCCCTGTCTTTCTATTTTTTTTAGGTTATGTACAACTGGTACGTAATATTTATATATATACACACACGAAAAACGTTACCTAGGTTACGTTGGCTTAGAATAATTAGAGGGGAAAAACATTAGAAAAAAAAATGATAAAGAAAAAAGGTACGTTTTACTTAAACTATTATATTGCATTATCGTTTAGTAGTAAATAGGTAATAATTGTTGGTAGTTGCTGTTGCTCATCACTGTTTTTCTTCCGACCACCTATCAGCTGGTCCATACTGTTGCGATGATGTAGACTGTTGTTGTTGCTGTTGTTGTTGTTGCTGTTGCTGTTGTTGAGTCTGTTGTTGTTGAGCTTGAGCGTGGGTTGTCATCTGATAAAGTGGATAACTTTTTCTTTTCCTGATACCGTGCATCGATAACAAATGAATTTGTAAATACTGTTTAGTTTTAAACATCTTGCTGCAAACGTGACAAGATATAAATTCAGTTTGTACTGTATGCACGTTGACAATGTGTTGCTTCAGATTGGAATTGTTCGAATAGATTTTACCGCATTCCGGGCATTTAGGTTTGCCAGGATGATTGCCAGCTTCGAGTTGTTGGAAACGGCGTTGGGCTTGATGCAACATTGCCATATTATCTAATTTATCTTTCGTACAGGTTTGAAACATCATACGCAATTGATCACTTTTTGATGACACTTGTTGTTGCTGTTGTGATTGTGATTGTGATTGTTGTTGTTGTTGCTGCGTTTGTTGTTGTAGTTGTTGTTGTTGTTGCAAGGCCTTAAAGTTCTGTAGTTTTTGATGCATTACCGTAAGTTGTTCGCTACTCATACTGTTCAAGGAGTTGTGAGTGTTCAGGGTGCGTTTCTGCGACTGTTGGCTGGTGGCATGGTGGTGAAGAGGAGGAGGAGGAGGGTGATGATGATGATGATGTAGAAAGGAGGCTTGGTCCTGCCCTTTAGTGTTGTGCAACCCACTACTCTGGTAGGTATCAGGCCCAGCAGGTTCGTTTTTCGTCGTTGGTGTACCACCAGGAACCCAAGCAGAACTCGAGCTTGAACCATCCCCACCAGAGGGCTGCCACCGCCCTGGAACCACCAGCCAATGTCAGTCCTCGTCCAATCTCGTACGATCCCTTAAACACTAGTCAAACCTTTTTTTCCTCCCGCAACAGCCCTTTTTTCCGATTCTTAACTTTTTTTTTTTTTTACTTTTTAACATTAATTTTTCTGCAATCACTTCGTATCCTAATCATTTTTGCCGTTTATTTATTTATATTTATAAATATATATATGTATATGTATATATATATATTTTTTTTTTTTATCCCCCATTTTTTCGTTCGGGCTCGTTGCAAATCTCATTCGTTTACCCACCCTGTTTATTATTTTGCTTTTCTTTTTTTTCTTTTTTTAAACTAATAGTCAACTAAATTAGAATTGAAATTTCAAGCACTCATTCTCTCTCTCTTTCTCTCTCTCCCTTTTGTTTCTTTTTTATTTTTTTTTAATCTGTCGTACTTCTCTCTTTCACACACACATATACGCACACTTTCAATTTCTTTCATACAATTTTATCTGTGTCCTTTTTTTTTTGTTTTTTTTTTTTAAATTGAATATGCACACACACAGACACACACACACAATTTATATAAATTTAAATATAAATTGATAATTTTCTTTCTTTTTAAACGAATACGAAACGAGTTCTCGATTTATACGACGAATCGCATCGTTTCTCGTGATTATACGTTTTCTTAGGGGGGTTGGGGAGGGGAGGGGGGAGCCGGATATTTGTTTGATAAAATAATTCGGGAAGAAAAAAATAATCAAATGAAAGAGAAATAAAAAAGGAACGAAAAGAAAGGATGACGATGATAATAATAATAATAATAATAAATAATAATAATTTCGTGCGTATGTTAAAAACAGTACCACCATAAGTGGGTTTTCTTATTTGTCATGTTTTTTTTTTTTGGTTTCTCGAAAAGCGGATATTCGAAAATAATAAATATAAATATAAAAATGATTCGTAGAGTTTTGAATTAAAGAAAAGAAAATAAATAAAATAAACCAATGGGGGAGAAATGCAGGTGGAGGGGGGTTGGTGGTGGTGGTTGTGAGAGGTACGAGAGTTTCATGCATTCAACGGTAACAACGAGAGACGAAGAGTCCTTCTTCTTTGTATTTTATTTGAATATATAATTATATTTTTTAAAAATAATTCTCTTTTCCTTTATAAAATATATACCTTTTAGATTTTTTTATATATTTTCGTTTATATAAAAGAGAAGTCATAAATATTCGACGGGAGGGTTAACTAGGATCTACGAGATCGTATCGAAAAATGAAAAAATTCAATGATCGTGCAAAAAAAAAAAAAAAGATCATATGACTTACCGTAATTTGGATCCTGATTTGATGCATGGATTCCCGATGGTCCTGGCATTAATCCTGAAACCAATGAATTCATTTTAATATATGACATTATATTTATTTCAAGAAAACAAATATATATTTCATTAATTATTTCGTTGTTGATTAACGAAATATTATACTAAAGAAGAATAGTCGTCGTCTAAGTTAAAAATAATAATTCATTTATTTCTAATTAATTTATCATTGTTATTTTTTGATCGCGTTTTATCGAAAAAAAAAAAAGAAAAAAAAAAGAAAAAAAGAAGATATAAATATACCTTGTAGATTCAATAGGGCGGCTGGAAAATTACTGCGATGATGCTCCATCGAGGAATCGTTCAATAATTCGCTTGGTTCAGTTTTAACCGAGTTCAGGATACTTTCGTTGTTCGATATATCTTCGTTGTCGGACAATGAATTCGAATCTTCGCCAATCGATTGTGCCTAGAAAATAAATATAAAAAATGGAATATTAATATATAGTAATGTTAAAGTATACATTTTTTAAGCAAACATATGTGCAAATGATTTAATTTGATTTGTTTCTAAAAGAAAGTTTATGTTTGTTTTGGAAAAAAGAAAACAAAAACGAAAAATCTATGACACGTGTTAAAATTAATCATCAATCTTTATATATTAAGCTAAATTAATTTAAATAATTATAATTAATAACCTGAACGTTATTCGATGGTGCTGTATGTATCGTTGGTCCACCTTCAAGGGCTTGTCCCAATAGTGATTCTTGTAAATCTGTTTTAGGTTCGGTGTTATTATCCCTTTGAGGACTATAACTTCTAGACCTTTTATCTGGTGGTGGACTACAGTCGTCATCGTTAAGGTCTCTTCCGTTATCTGGCCAAGCATTACGTGGGGTTGCCTATAACGGAAATAAATATCAAACGATATTTCATTTAAACAATATTATATAACGTATCAGATTTTATTATTAATTATTTATCTTTTAACAAATTTTTCATTTATTTTCTATTATTTTTTGTTATTCATAAAAAAAGAAATAGAACACAGTCAACAACGCATCATTTGTTAATAATATCATTTTAATATATAACATAACCTCAATCTTAAATTATCAAGTATCGTAGAATAATATTGATGTATTGTTATTATTTAAAAAAATGTTCATTTATTTTCTATTAT